TTTTTTTAGTCAGATTTTTTCTTAGTTTATCGAGCACCGTAAATTATACATTTTAGAATATGTGAATTTGAGAATTGAAAGTAGATTGGGATCAAAAAACTTGAAAATTATGGATACGCTGAATTTTAAAATCTATTAGGTTTATAATTTGTAAATCTTGAAGCATTATAAAGTTATATAAAATTTTGCTAAATGTAAGCTTATGTAGTAACTTATAAGCAGAAGCAAAATCAAACTTTCGACAGCATTGACAGATCACTATGTGAAATTAAAAACGTTTTTTGTCTGACTAATTCTAAGTTTCTCAGTTTTGTGGGACAGATTTTTAGCTACATAGTTCAGCCAACACAGTAAATTATGAGTTTAAGAACATTTGAATCAGAGAATCAAAAAATAATTGGTTTCAGACATCAGATTTTTAGAAAAGTTCAAAGAAATAATTTTCTGTCATATGCATTTAAGAACATCCATATTTTGGTAAGTATATAACAAAAGAAAAAATATGTAATTCCCGTAAATTTGAAGCTTCGATGAATATATAAGCTGAAGTAGGTAGGAATTTAAAATATACTACATTTCGCCAAAAAGCAGATTTTAGAGAATAGTCGATTCCAGAAAAATTTATAATAGTTTTTAGTGTTGGGCCCGATCTTTTAAAAAACAAGACCAATCTTTTCAAACTGGGTTTTAATCTAATTTCAGACCCATTTCTGCTAGAATGGATCAAATAGAATCAGGAAATGCCGTGCCCTTTTTTTCCATAAACATGATTATTTTTAGGTCCGGAAGGAACAAAACAAAATTCCATGAACAAAAAAACCCCATAGATGTAATTGCGTTGGCAGAGATTATCTGTCTACTGGTCTCACGAAAGGGATCACATGCGACTTCTATTAGACTAGGTAGCATGAAAAGAGCAAAAAAACATCTTAAGCACAATATTTCTGACTCTGATAGAGACAGAACAGAGACTGACCAGATGAGCAATGAACAGGAACAGATCAGAAGGACATTCCCGGAACTTCAACCAAAAAACATTCTGAAAATGCGGAGGATGTTAATTACAAGTTACGAGCGTGCGAGACGACGTTCCAAGGTAGGATGTGAAATACGGACACAAGCGAGGTAAAACATGTGGAAGTGTAGGGTTATAAAGAGGGACGCGACACAACCGTAAATCGTTTTATGATTCGCTGCCTATCAACCGCCATATATACTCTACCCCAGTCTCTCGTTTGTCATTAACTCCTCACTTCGTCCCCTTATTTGACAGTCAGGAAACAACCCAATGTCAGTTTCGGTTTTTACCTCTTCTCTATACGTTGCAATTTTTTTTCAAAAGTTTTTCTTTTTGTTTGTTTTAACAATGTCAGTTTATTCAGGATAACGGATATATTGGAATATTGTGCTAATTTATTATCATAGAATTGTTTATATTCAAAAATAAACATATATCCTGTTCAATTGTGTCCAATTTTCAAATAGAATGTTTAGTTTCTACCTTCTCTTTCGAAAATAAACTTTTTTGAAATTCACCGATTATGCCTAAAAATCTTTCCAGAGAGAGAACTGGTTTCTTAGAAACCATTCTCACGAATTGAACGAACTTATAACTAAAAAGTCTCACAATAATTTTCCCGGCAAATTTTCCAAAGTATTCTCCCGCGCTTTCTCAATAGGAAGTGAGGAACGTTAAGCAGCAACTCATTATTATATTTTTCAGCTATTAAGAGTATATATTTCTCGTCCTAAAGTTTCTCTCTAACTTCATTGTCTAGATTTTCAAGCGTACTTCACAAAAATTCCCATTTTTCAACAGAAAGTATACAATTTTGATTTATTACTTTATATGAACCAAAGGGTTGCTAAGGCGGAATCACCGCTTTTGTTTCGAAAAATTTAGAAATGTGCTTTACTTTTTTTTTATTCTTTGTGTTTTGACTCTAAAATGCACTCTTCTTTCATCATTATTCTCGTTTTAGATAATTAAAAAATTGAGTAGGTGATGAATTAAATTCTGGATGTGATCATTTTAGAGTAAAAAATTTGATTATTCTTAGTTCCCACTGCCCTTTTTAATGATTGATGGCAATTTTTCATTTTTCGATTTATTAGAAGAATAGCTGAATAAAAAATCTTGATTTTTTATGTAGCTTGACGCAAAGGAGATATTTTACTTTAGATAAATTTGGTTTTTTTTTCGTTTCCTTGAAGATTTTGGGACAAGATTTTATTTTACTAGGTTAAGAAAGCTCCCTTTTTCATTCGATATATGTTTGCTTTTTTCTGAAATGTGAATTTTTAGGAGAAACACGAAACTTTCTAGTGAAGCTGAAAATGACAATGAATGAAATTTCGAAGAGATGAAACCACCGCAAAGCCTGTAACAGCTGTGCCCCCACACTGTCAAGTTTGAGCTTAGTTATCTTAATTCCTATACAAGATATCGAAAATGTGTCAACTGACAGAAATTTATTATATTTTGATAAGAATGTATCAATTGACAACTTTTTCATATCTTCGACAGGAACCAAAAAAATTGGCTAGAAGTTGAAAGTAAGTGAGTCCTTCTATTAAAGATGTTACAGTATTTTTGAGATAACTATCAATTTTCCCATTCATTGTCTTTGGGACCCTCCAACCATAATCCGTTCACCCATCTCACCTCCTTAAATTTCGCGCACATCCTCTACTGGATTACGGTACTTTGTCGGCGTGATCCGTTTATTGCCGTCTGTCAAATGTCCCGCCAATTGGTCAGTGATGATAACATTGTAATCAAATCACCTAACCGTATCCTTTTAGACCGTCCTTGGACATCCAAAGATGTTAAAAAGGTGTCCACCAGTGGATATACGGGGGTGCGGCTTTGTCGCCTTCTTGTTCCCGCCGGGACGGGGTACCCAGTCATTTCCTACCTCTCCGAATTTTTACTACCGTTATGGCCGTGGGGAGGCTCTTTTGATGTGCAGCCGACACAAGTACGCGCATATATTGGCGATACGAAACGAAGGAGTCGGGGCGGGTGGACGCACCATCGGGAAGGGACAGAAGGGAGGAGTAACAAGAAGGGAGTAGAAAAAAGATTCTACCTGCTGTCAGTTATTATCCAAACCACATGTCACTTTGTTTTCACAACTCGTTACAACCACCTTTCTGTGTTCTTCGTCTCCGGCAGTGCTCCATCTTGGTTTATTACCTTTCTCTGACTCTGATATCTTTTGGCATTCCCATCCTTTCAATTTTTCATTCCTTCATGTTCAGATCGTTTCTGATGACGTCCGAACCATCTACGTCGTCTGGCACGTTAGACGCAGATTGCAACACCTTGATTCAGGAAGCATTGGCTCAAGCTGGTTTAATCAAGATAGAACGAAGGGTAAGAAAATACTTTTTTTGAACCTCTCATTTTTCTTGGGTTCTCTAACTTTTTGGGACCTCTCAACTAAAAAAGAGGAGAACCATCATTTTTATAGTTCCGAAAATTTAAAATTTTCTGAACATTCTTAAAATTAGTAGTAAAAATACACCTTTATTTTGAAAGGTTGGAGGAAGAGCAACTCAGCTACCGTAACCCAAATATTTTCGACTTCTTTTTTTTAACGTTTTAAAGATACGAAAATTGAGATTGATATATTAAAAAAATTCTGAAATTAATGATTTGAGGATCTAGAATTGTACTAGAAGTAATATTTTTTCTGAAAATGAGTTTTTTTGCTACTTACAGTACCGGTCAAAAAGATTCTACGAAACACATTTTTCGCCAACCAAAATTTGAAAAGAGATCAGAAACTTGACAGCCGAGCAACACTCAGGGAATTTAGGGCGATTTGCCGTGAAAGTTTGATGGGCAAAACGCCCGAAACCTGGGCAATTTGCTCACACCATGCCGTAGTCTTGCGCAAGTATAGTCCAAAGCAAGCCCAACTCATGTCTCAAGCTTGCCGCAAAAAAACGAGGGCACGCGATCGTTTAGTTTTAATATACTTTTCTCAAATCCTTGCCCAAGCCTTGCCAGAGTCTCGCCCACCTAGCAGATTGCCCAAATCAGCGGGCGTGGGTGCCCCACCCTAGCTCAAAATTCCCTGAGCAAAATCCTGAAAATGGTTCAAAATTAACTGAAAAATCGTATTGATTAATACTGTATACGGATCGATGATTTCCTTAAAATTCTGAGAAGAAAATCTCGTGGAATACAATTAGTCTCTTCTAAAATCTCATTTATTTGCACCAAATCTACAGGAGTCATCTAAAACATCGTGCGCTCTTTTTTTTTGCATCCATGCATTTGTTATTTTTGTTAATTAGTTTCTGATCAACATCTCCCATCACTTTCCTCTCCTTACTTTTATGTAAAGAGCCCTATTCCAAAAAGTCCTCATTATCATAGTTGTCTCTAAAAAGAACGTCATTATCATTATCACAAATGACCCACTGACCCCGAAGCGGCAACTCCTTTTGAGATACGAGTATGACACTTCGTTTCGCCTTATGTCACGTTCTTTAACATATTTTTGCCTTAACACAATGTCACCAAATATTCAGGTTAGCCATACACTTGACATGTTTAAGATTTTTATTGAGACGTAAAATTTGAAAATTAAAATTCCAATTCGATCTTGCGATAGAACTAATAAAACTAGCACCAATCAAATTTCAATACGGTCCACTCACTCACTCGATTACAAAGTTTTGATTGCTGCTATTTATGACCGGAGCCGCTCGGCCATAAAAACCCCAAACTCCAAAATTCCATTTTCTCCTCCCCGCTCTCACCATAAATCTCGTAACACTTTCTCTCAGTTGTTATCAGTTGCCTTCACAATTGTAGGCCATCAAAAAACAATAAAAATTTCAAAATTTTACAACCACCTCCACACAAATGTTGCATAAGTGGAGTAATGGAACTTATTTCTCTACTATTTCAGAGTGTTTCACCAACAAACATTAAAGTCACCAAGAATTCGTTGCTCGCCGAGAAAATCTCTGCTCATCCGTTGATGCCTGTGGTGGAGCTATTACTCAGAAAATGTGAAACCGCTGCTACCACATTCGATAAATCCGTTTTTGAAGTTGACGATATTAAACAAGTAAGTGATTGGAAAATATTTATTGATTATTTTGAATTGAAAAAAAAATAAGTGCATAAGTAGAGTATGACTGGGTGTTGTGAATGTGAGAAGGCAAGTTAATTTATTGAACAAAAAAACTCGGGGACGATTTCTGACTTTGGCTAGGCCTCAAATATACAGAGAAAAGATAGGTTTGAGCATAGGGAAAGATCATTAGCTGGGCGTGATCACCACAAAAAGACCATAAAGAATGTAGCAAACATCACTTTGAAGCTAGTTCCTGAAAACCAACCATTTTATTTTGTTTCAAATGAAAAAGTTCATTTTCTCACCTGCCGAATTGAGTGATTGTTGCTGATCGGCAGTTGGTTGATCAAATTGTGGGTTGGATGACGCTTTAACGGCTGGTAGGTTGAGATAAATGAAGAAATATCTGATTAGTTCATACCTATTGTCGATGCGTACCGTCCGTATGGAGTGTTCATGTCACCATATACTGGAGTGAAAGCAGAGTCCTAGAAAATGTGAAAATCGATTTTACAGTTGGAAGTTTGAATAGCTTAAGCTTAGAAAATACAGTATCGGTCAATAAAATATCTAAAAACTTGATTTTCAGTTAATTTACGGCCATTTTGACCATTTTCAGGAGTCTGAAGCTCGGCTGTCAAGTTTCCGATCACTTTGAATCTTTAGGAGAGTGTGAAACAGATTTAGATTGAAAACTTTGTATTCACAGAATTTTTGAAAGTTCCTAATTCTTCAGTTACTGGGCGATTTCTGAAAGACACCAGTTTTTTCATGTTTTTAGTTCAAAAGGTCAAGAAGGGGTGTCTTTCAAAAATTGGCAAATAGCTGAAAAATTAGGGAGTTCAAAAAAAATTCTGTAAATGCGAAGTTTTCAATTCAGGACTGTTTCACACTATTCAAAATTTTCAAAATGATCGGAACCTCGATAGCCGAGCTCCAGACTGCTGAAAATGGTCAATATAATCTGAAAAACACATTTTTTGTTTTTCTTATTGACAGATACTGTATATAAAATATTAAGTTAGTCGTGAGCATTTTTACTATTAAAAGTTGTGTGTTACGAAATATTTAGCGCAAAAAAGTTTCATGCTCACCTTGTTCTTTATTTCTGTGCCTTGAATGTACGATAGTTTTCGAACCTAGGAGATAACTATGAACTAATGAACACAAACAAAAAAATGTGATTGGTATATTTAGCATGTTACTGCATGGTTGTCATAACCTAGCCTAGCTGAATACAGTAAACACTATAAAAGAAAGCCGCAGAGGCCGTAAACTGCGAAACCTTATATCTTATTTTCTATAAAAGGTATCGAACATGTGTCAATTGATAAAATGTTGTTCATAATATCATCAACATTCTATCAGGTGGCACCGTGTTTGTATCTTCCACAGGAACCGAGAAACATTGGCACAATAAGCAAGGTGACCTTATATTAGAGTGTTTACGATATATCCAATCACATTTTCTAACCAAAAAAATA